CTTTTAGGTTGGATTCACCAATTATTATCCATAGAAGCATTGGGTGTGAAAGACGGGGAATTGTATGTAGATAGTTTAAATTGCTGAATCATTAGTTTTAAGTATTATCCATAGAAGCATCAGGCGTGAAAGATGGGGAATTGGATGTAGATAGCTTAAATTGCTGAATCATTAGTTTTAAGTATTATACAAAGAAGAATCGGGTGTGAAAGATGGGGAATTGGATGTAGATAGCTTAAATTGCTGAATCATTAGTTTTAAGTATTATCCAAAGAAGAATCGGGTGTGAAAGACGGGGAATTGGATGTAGATAGCTTAAATTGTGGAATCATTAGTTTTAAGTATTATCCGAAGAAGAATCGGGTGTGAAAAATGAGGAGTTGGACATAAGTAGCTTAAATTGCTGAATCAAGTTTTAAGTTGTACCTACATATCCAAGGAAGTATGAAGCAAGCATATAGCTGAATTATTGTATCTACCTACACAAAACAAATATGAAAAACTTCCTGAATATACAAAAAATAGTTTCATAAAACTTAATATTAAGATATTATAAGAGTGAGTAGCAGATATCATTCAAAGATTCTGAATATAATCCAGGTCTATAATACTGTAGACACCACAATTTTTGGTATCTTAGAAGAAAACAAAATTAAACCACCAGCAGTGCATTTTCGTTGAAAGCTAGAATATTTACACTCACTTTTATTATATGTTTATTCTACAATATTACATATGTGACATATTTTACATTAAATATAGAATTGTGAAAACGATTTTAGGTAGAACTAACCCTAACTATAAAAATTTTATATTCTAAAGGACAAGCATTCATATTCACCATTAATGAAATCCAGTTGTTGTTTAACATAATTTGTCTCGGTACCAGTACTGTAATTTGATATAAGAAAGTATTTACTATTGAACTTTGTTTGGTTCATTCATGATGTTAAAAAAACATGTAGGTTCAAGAACTCTTGACAGAAATTATGGTAGACCTTTCTTCTTCAATGGCAAACTGAAAAATAAAGGTCTACCTTTTGAAAGTGCTCGGGTTATAGAGTGTTTATTCATTTCTGTCAAGAACTTTGTTTGGTGTTAGGAAAACCTCAATGATATATTATTGACCCTGGTTTATGTGCATATGATCTTGGTTATTTCATTAGGAAAATGGATATTCTGGTTTTTGCTTGTAATATTGACCATTTTGACTGTGAATCTAGTTTAACTACATGTAACTGTTTATTGATAGGATGTTTTTAAACATTGGTTTTTCAAATAAATTAAAAATTCATAGTATATGACTGATTAACTTAAGTTTAAAAACTAAGTAAATGTAAGACGTTCAGAGGTTTAAAACATTTTGTCAGTAGAGGTTTTCTGTGCCTCTAGTAAACAGAGCATTGGATATAGCAGAAGTTGTAGGAATATTTTTTGTGTGTGTGTCATTTAATGAAATGCTTGATTTGATGTGTTTCAGTTATTGATCAAACTACAGCAGAAGGAATGAACCCTGATGAAGCTGCCGATTGTGTGCTCAATGCAGTTAACTCAGGACAAAATGATGTTATTTTTGCATCACTGACACCAAAACTAGCTGGGCTTCTGTACAATTTTTTTCCATCTGTGTATTTTTATCTTACGAAGAACAAAACTCGAAGATGCAGTTGATAAAGGCAACATACCTCTGCATTAAATTGACTTTTTTATTTAGTCCTGTGTCTAATTCTTATTAATAATAGAAACAGTTTTTGTTCTTCTAATACAACAATTGTTTTGTACAGTTTTACTTGATTTGCACACATTCTGGCATACAAGAATAACTCACTCTCAATTTTGTTCAAACATATCTAATTTAGGGGGAAAACAATACTCCTCCACACTGTCAAAATTAAGTTGTGTGTATTGACCTCTACAGACTACATGATTAAAATGAAATTTTTTTAATGATTTTCCAAGCTGTGAAAATCAAATTACCTTTATACTCCTCACATTGTTAAAATTGGATTCTTTGTATATTCCTCTACAGTTATTATTATTGTGTATTAGTCATGAGGCACAGGTTGGTTCACTTTTCAAATTTTAGTTTATGCACCTTTTTATTTTCTTGATTACATAAATTTTGAATTAATACTTTTGTTTTTATACTATATAGGAGCTTTCTTTTTGTACATTTTAGAAAGATTTTAAGTATTTGTGATAATCATTAGGTATTGTATTACATATTAAAATTAAAATGAACACTACATTTCAAACATTAATTTCTTATATAAGGTTTCCCATTTAATAAAACGTTATTACAATAAGGATGGTTATTTGTACATGCTGAGGTCAATGTTACAGATGTTATGCTTCCCTTAGAACTCCTACTTCCATAATTAGTTAATTTCATGGACATGATTACATATTTTTAAACAACATCACAATTTCACTCAGGCTTTGCAGGCACAGGGCCATAGGCATCCTCCTCACTTGTCAAATGGGAAATACCTATTGGCTAATACCTGCTGTGGGGATACCTTACAACTGCCATGTGAAGCTGAAATACTTCCACTTTCCATTGTCCTTTTTCTGATTAATCACCTTCAGAGAAAATGTGTGTGTTGTGAATTCAATTTTGCCATTTTCATATAACATTTGTTCTAGCTAGAAAAACTGTTTTTGTACATTTACAACAATGTGCAACTCTCCCTTGTGCACTCTGATCCTTGTATTAAGCAAATTCTAAATGAAGTCTTTCCTGCCTTAGAGCACTGGGACTACTACCTGAATCATAGGTTGGTTAACATACCTCAATGGCTCATAATGATGCTACAACATGGCATCTTATAACTGACTATACAATTGCCAGATATTGCACATATCAATGCTATGTACACTTATTTGTGATTGGTGTGTCTACCTTGCTTTATGGCAAGAAGCCTCAAGCTAGGTCTGCTCTTCCTGAATTTTCTGATTGGTCATCTGTCAGCTCTGTAGAAACATAGAATTGTCAATGCAATGGCTGTAACTACTGCATGGTGTCCACGATCTGAACATTCAACAAAAAGACATGATCTCACAGGTTAGTGAGATAATCCATCAGCATTTATACCCTTGCAGCAAGGTTATTCAATGTGCAAATCATACCTTCAATATTTTGAAGCTCACTAGAAATTTCACCCTTATATAGTTCACATATAACCATGGTGTTTCTTTATTTTCTTTTGAATACTTACCACTGGAGATGACCAAGCAATCTCTGAAAGTTGTATTACTCTCTACTCAATTTAAGAGCTTACAACATCCCAGGTACTCCAAGGGAGATTATGCAATGGTTGTTTTATCAGAAATATGTCACCAGTCAAGTCAAATTATACTATGTAATACATATTCTGGCAATTCCTCCTGTTATTTGCAGTTACTATCCCAAAGATAAATCAATGTACCTGAGAACTCCATACCTTCATATAAAGAGTTTTGAGTACATTATATTAAAATTATTTTGAATGTTCAAAGCAGCAAATAATTGTATGTAATGGCATTAGAAAATAAAAGAGAATAAATCAACTTAAGCACTAGAATAATCCAAAAATTGATCTGTAACAAATTGTGCTCCAGATCTGGTAAGCAAAGTTCAATGTCTTATAACAGGTGAGAATCCAGGAACACAAAGATCAGTGTCAAAAGACATCTATATGTCCCAGGCACTAGTATGCAATATAACCAAGAATGATCTCCATCTGAACAAGTTTCTTCCATAATATATCCATTCAATCATCACATACCTCAAACAGCTGGAATGAATACATGTTGATCATATTACTGATGCACAGTCATCAGAAAGGGCATGAATTGACATGGCAACATTGACTGTAACAATGTGATTAGGTTCCAAAATCATTTTAATGTAATATACTCAACAGCTATAGTAGAAAATTTAAACCTTTTTATCAAATCAAAAATCTGTCCAATACTTTGACTCGGGCTCCAGTTTGAACAGCGCTGCTTATTTTTGATCTGTTTTAAAATGCTTTCTTGGGTTCATCAACTTTACTGTAGAGTACAATCTAAATAGTTTTCTTATCTACACTGGTCTATGATTACTGGCATTTCAATAACTTGGGATAATGAAATTGTCACATAATTAATATGTTTATGATTGACTTGCTTCCAATGCTAAGTTTAAAACCTGAAAGAGTTAGAGGTTACTCCAAAGCAGCTCTCTTTCTCGCTTACTTTTTTTAAATATATTTATGTACAATAATACAGAAAGTTAATGGTGGGAAGGAATTTCATTATTTAATTTTCCTGTATATTGTGATTTAAGGTTAACCTTTGTCAGAAGTGAGGCATGTTCAAGGTTTAAATAAACATGAATAAATTGTGTTCATCTATAGTAAAAAACTTTTCCCTTCTGTACTTGTTTTCACACGTGTATTCTCAGGTCCAATGATTTGCCCCAAGTTTGACAAAATAGATTCTTCAAAAGATTCAATAAAGCAATAAATATATCATGGAGCAAATATGAATTCTCTGACTATGATTGAGTTTGAAGAACGAATCCAAATAATGTGTGTATGGATGACACCTGTACTGGAGAGAGTTTTCGATACTGAATTTTTAGCATCTTTGTTCCAGACTGAGAAAATATAGCATTATATGCATGAAATAACAATGGTAGTTCTCTCAGGACGTGTACACTACCTACGTGGCTATTGGTCTATCTCATTGAATCATAAGGGAAGTCATATTCTCAAGACATCATTTGATCTGCCAATGGAAAAGGTACTGTCTATTTTTACATAGTTTGTAAATTTTTTCAAGAACCTTTCTTATACGAAGACAAAGTTAAGTGGTCCGGAATCGTAGGTAGGTAAAGCAAAAGGAATTTACAACTTTCTTTACCAACATTCTGTTAAAACTGTGTATACCTCAATAACTGAAAATGCTGAAAAATACTCTATTAAAACAAGGTGGTAGCAAACGTAGTGTGCATGAATACTACACACGTAACATTCTATTCACTGCATCCTTGGGCCTCCTGTTATATAGAAATGGTCTACCTGTGTGTTATATAGACTTTATCACGTGCACTTAAGCCTACAGCTTAAAGTTACTTGTGGCATTACTTTACATAAATCGAAGATAAGAATAATTTCAATTATATTTAAAGAGTAATAATTACCCTACCACAACTTTTATGTCAATAGGAAATATTGTAACTTTAATTTCTATATAATTAAAAGAGTAATGTGTGTGCATGAGAAACTTTAAGCTTCATTAAATTTTGCAAAAATAAAATACTGAGTAGGTGAAGTATAGAGAATGTCCCCGTATGCATAAGGGAGGAGTGGATATAGAGAGTATTGTGCATTGCAAAGGAAAGGGTATTTGGGTAATGGATCTGTTATCCATCAGAGATCCGTCTCAGACACCAGTGTTTATGTGATAAGGTTTTATGTGTGAATTTTTTTATTTGTTTATAGGTGTTTAGAGCACCATCACCCTATTAAGTTTTAATACTTGCCCCAGTACCCAAGTTTTGAAAGCGTTTTTAGATCTGGTGTCTCTTACTAGATAAGTTCAGTTTGTCATTTTTGATCAAATAATTTTGGTCAAAGTGTGTTTTGTACTAGAGGTGTTTGATAGGTATCACGTGGTGTTGAATAGTATTACATTACAACTTTTATATTATATGTTTGAACATTCTAATACATAAAATCTACACAAATTATGTTCAAGCGTTGATCTTTCGTTGTTGGATTCTTTTAAATATCTAGTAAAAATATTTCAACAACTTGTACACGTGTCGAAAACAAATTACTTTTGCCCCTCATTTAACATAAAGTATTGCAGGCATACGTTACAAATGACGTTAACCAACGTAAAACAAATAAATTTACTTGTACTACATTATTTAATACGTGTGATTATGACAGCAAACATAGATCCAAATATTTTACTAAAACGCACTAAATGATTCAACTCTCTACACTTCACAACTATCTCGATTTATAATCAAGCCCTGGATGTGCTAGCATACTTTTCATCACATCTTTAAAATTTTCTAGATGTCCCTAGCTTATCTTATTAAACCTTCTGACTTTAATATCATCATTAAGATCCGCAGCTACTCATAGCTAAAATTAAAACAATAAAAAATATAGCCTACAACAATTCAATTAGCTATTGTGCTGCTGTGATATTTTTGGGTTAAACTGATTTCTTCAAAGAGTATAAGGTAAGTACGACTTTTTACGGGAGGATAGACAGGATGAACTACTGAATTTAACTATAACTAATTGAGTTTGAGCAAATAAATAATCAGGACTTGATGTTTAACACGCTTTGTCAAATCAAAGACAAAAACATAGTGTGGATACTTGATTCTGGATGCAAGATGGTTGCCTTTTACTGATTCGTGAGTTGGTTAGACAGGATTTATTTCCTTTAGATGTTCGATGACGAGGAACCCACTTTGAGACTAATAATGGTTGTAGACGGCTTGAATGGGTAATGAAGAAAAACTTTAATATAACAGCAAATGTACAACGTTTCGACAAGGTTTTGTCATAATCAGGTATGTTATGTTAAACTTATATTAAAGTTTTTCTTCATTACCCATTCAAGCCGTCTCCAATCATTATTCCTTTAGATGTATTCCCACTAATCAATTCACTTTAGATTAGGAACAAGAATCTTTAAATGTAACTTCTTTTTTTTTTAACTTGAAGGGGAACTTAAGATTTTCCCATAGTGACTTGTGCTACCCAAGTGATAGTAATTCTCATTCAAACACAGAGGAGATCGTAACCTCGACATATTATTTGGCTGTCAACATTTTTACACAATGTACAGCATTGTAACCATGTCCCCGAGCGAAATAGGTGTTATCTTTATAAAATGAACAAAGGAAGAAGGTGGCAGGAACGAAGTCATTTTCATGACTTTCTTGATTACGTGTTATGCAAAAATTGAACAGACTTAGAATACATGAAAATGTTTGAAACTCTTGGACAAAACAGGTGTCATTTCAGAGATTGGACAAAGAAAAAAAAAGGCGGTTAGAACGAAGTCAACTTAACGACTTTCTTGAACACATGTTATGTGGAAATTGCAATATTAAAAAATAAGTAAAAAAATATAAATTACAGTGAGAAGATAAAAAATGTTGCCATAATACAAACAATTAAACAACGTATTTTCAAAACAAATCAGTTCTTAAAAATCGACATATTACATTGCATCTTAACAATAACAACAAAATTTATGTTTTATAAATAATATCCTGGAAAATTATTATTTTGATTTTATATTATTTATTTTAGATTAGTCTAACAAACACTATTTACTTAAAAATAGTTGTTTTGAATAAGTTTGTTAATTTTTAACATTTTCTGATGTTGCACATCACAAAATGAAGTAAGGTTTATGTTTACTGAGAATAGTATAAATTTGATTGCTTTTTGTATATTATTTCCAATTTCTAGAACTTATATGAACAATACGGGTTTGAATTAAATCTAGTAATTTTAAAATTTAACTGACTGGGCATTTGCCTTGCAGTTTCTTACAATCGATGTCAGGTTTTCTTTTATCCGTGTATGTATCACTAATAGTGTGATTTTATTGTTACGCGCCTTGTTACAGATAGCTTGTTGCTAAGACTATTCACTTAGTTACAAATGTAGTACTTGTATTTTTTGCTACTTCTACTACAGGATGTTAGTGTGAACTAAATCCTTAATAATTTCTATCTTATTCTTACCGTAAAGTGTATTTATACTTTAAGCATAATGACTGAGTTTTTATTTCAACTAAAGTTGAAGTTGACGGTCTAGCAGAATAATTTTTTCTAAAGACAATGTACTAATTATGTACACTGTTCAGTACAAAAGTCAGTTGTCTTGAGCAGACTAGTAAAACTAATACTGGTAATACTAATAGTAGTAAAAGTACCATGTTTTACTTTTGAACTTCATATTTTAATTTTTCAAGATGCAGTGAAAGTTGTAAAATTGTTAAATAATGCATTCTTGGTAAGTTTTAAATTTGGACTTTTTCTTAGATTTTATACAGATGTAGAAACTGTAAATTGTATATTTATGATGAATTTTTAATTAAATTTTTCTTGCTTCACCATGTTCATGTTTAACATCAGTGTCACATTATTTGTATAGATGACTAATTTAAGTGTGAGAGATCATAGGCATGATTTTTCCACTAACTATGAATATGATGTACTTATTTCATGGTCTAACAAAACGTTTGAAGTTTACTGTTTTACAGTTTTATTAATTTTTTAACACTTTTTTTCATGCCCTCTAACATTGTTGACAAATTTCAAGTACAATATTTAATTAATTTAAAATATGTTTAAACATAATTTGGTATAAAGCTTGTTGTGATAATTGTGTTAGAGGGGGGAACTACTTTTGCATGGTATCTCAGTACAGTTAGAAGTAATGAAATGTTATTTATTTAGGAATATAATAAATACTAAGATATATAGTATTATATCCATAATTTGCCATCAGGATTGGGAGAGATTAGAAAAAGTTTGATGAGCAGTTGGGGAGTAAGGATTGTATGAAGGCAAATGGGTGTTGAAATTAATGGAATAGTCGCAAGGATCCCTCAAATATATTTTTACTTTACCCATATTTATAAAAGTGTAAAATATTATTTCGGGCTGTTGCTTTGTATCTCTACTTTAGTGAAAATAAATTAATCAGATATATTTAATCAAAATAGAAGAAAGTGTATCGGAAAGGGAGGGGTTTTTGAAGATTATAATAAAATCTTACTTATATCACATGGTTTTGAGATTCATTTCAGTGTGTTGTGAAACTGATATCTAGAATTTAGTTTCAATTATAAAATACTGTGGAAGATATTTAAAATGTATGCTGACTGAGTAGACCTTTTTTACATAGGGGAAAAATGTGCTTTGCAGTTGAATGATGTCTAATTGAGGATTTTTTTTGGGAGGAGGACATTGCTCTAAAACTTGGTGCTGTCCAAAAATTAGTTTTACTTGTTCACCTTATTGCAGAAGGTAGTAGAACTAGAATTCATCATATATTGATTGATATGCATACTGATAAGAGTTTCCCACCTCAACCACAAATATAAAGTGGAGAAACACTGCAGCCCATGGCAGGAGAAAAAGAGATGTTTTTAGTCTGTTACTGCCTCATTTGTCTTCCCTCTTACTTGGAGATGTAAGATGTGACAGTATATCAAAAACTAATGTGACCATGGAATTTATACAAGTTTTTGTTCAGAAAAAATTAACTTTCCATTAATTATAATCATGCTTCACCAGCTTGAAAAAGGTGTTCACACCATAACAATTGTTGTTGTAACAAATAGCTTATATAAATGGTGTTCTGACTATTGCTGTGTTTGTTGTGTTCCAGCCAGCCTGATGAGCTCTGGATTGAAACAATTCATTGCAAACATAGTGTGGTTGAAGTACTAATAGTGTAAACTAATCTAATGCTTGAAAATCTCTAAGGGACTAGATAAAAAAATGTTTATTAAAAATATAATAGGCTTAATACTGATGTCTTATTACAAGTATAATTATGCATTATATCATTAAGGAAAAAGCCTTCACACCAAAACAATTATTGTTGTAATAATTGGCTTATATAACATGTGTTTTTTTTGTATCCCAGCCAGCATGATAAGTTCTGGTTTAAGCAAAACGTGTTGTCGACAATGGATATGGCAAAAATAGTGTAGTTGAAATACTATTATTATACACTTTTCTAATTCTTGAAAATCTCTAAGGGACTAGATAAAGAGCATTGTGTTAAAAAATATAATAAGCCTAATACTAAGGTATTATGACAAGTATAATTCAATTAATATTTTTCAGAAAAAGAATATGATAAAAACAAAACGATGTAATACCAAAACACTAGCGGTTAAATTATCAAATGCCTTTATAGGAATTATACAACAAAGTAGTATAAGTGTTCGATATGAGTGAGTTATAGAAACTTTGCTTTAGTAAGTGTATATAAGCATTGTTCCTGTTTAACTAGAGAAACAATTGATATAATATTGATATAAAAAAGAAAAGTGAAAAAAATGTGGGAAAATAACCAGTAAAGTGTAAATTTTTGAACTAACAGTTAGACAAAGTAAATGTTAGTAAGAGATACATTAATTGTAATGTACACTTTTTTCGTAAATATAAAAGTAATGTTTTCTTTATAAAACTAGAAAAAAGTTAAAATGCTCTTTAAAGTGAGAATTGTGTTTTACTTTGCATGAATAATGTTTATTTTATGCTTTTTAATGCAATTTTATGATTTCATGATTTATTTTTACATAAATGTTCTGGCTATTATATAGTAGGAATTAAAGGAACAATATTCAAAATATTATTTTTTTCCCGTACTTAATTAAATTATTGTTGGAATTTTATATGTTTATACAACCTCTGTATAGAGTCGTTTACCCATTTTTTTTTCTTCCATTGCAGGGAAGTCTATGCTTTTGAGCTATTGGTAAATAAATAAATATAGTATATTGAGGATGGATATGAAAGCTGAATCTATTCAACGAAAGCAACTAATGGACTTAAAGAAAGAAAAAAATTGCTCAGTTAGCACAAACAATTCTGAAAAAATTCTTAGACAACATTCTGCACGTAAATCAACAAATCCACATAAGTTGATTCACTATCAGGAACCTAGTTCTGACACTGGGAGAACTTCAAATGTTAGTTCACCTAAACTTGACAAGGAACCTCAGAACCCAAACTTAGAACAGAATGATTCAAGTAATAACCTAGGAGCAGATGAAAATAAAGAAGGTAAAATAGCTCTCAATTCAAAAATGGAAGAAAGATCAGCTAAATTCAACACTGGTAACCGTGAAGCTAGTGGAATTGAAAATGTTTTAAAAAATATTCAGGAAGATCTGAGTTATGTGTCTACAAACCAAGATCATAGTTCTGTGAAAGATTTAGAAAATGAAACGATATTTAACATTAATGAAGAACTTCCCCTCCAAGAAGAAGAAGAGCCTCCAGATTGGGAAGAAAGAGAGCTGTCAGGAGAGGATGAGGAAGAAACAGAGGAAAAAAATGAAACAAATGTTCACCAGCTTCTCCCTAAGGATTGTGTTCTCATTTCCTCGGATGAAGAAGGGTTTGAAGATGACCCTCCCGCATCTTCTCCAACTACTGAATCAGCTGTAATTGATGATAAATCATCTAAGTTGAGTCCTATTTGTATTGCTGATAGAAAGAATTCAAGTGCAGGTAATTTAATAAATGGTTCTAAATGTAATTCTTGTTGATCAGTAAATTCTGTGGTGAAATTATTCTTAATATTTTATTGTCATGTACATGTGTTCGTACTGCTTTTAATATATTTTAGTGTATCAATAATTTTTTTTAGTACACAGTGGCATGCAGATAAGTTATTTGAATGATGCAATATTTATGAATATTTAAGTGAGAGTGAGTTAAATGTGATAATTTGTAAACAGTTTGAATAAATCAACAATAATTTTCATAAAAATTAATTCTCTGTATCTGTGTATGTGTGTGTGTGTGAAACATAGAAATACAGTAATTTGCAAGGTAACAGAAAGTCATTCCACCCACCATGATCACACCCCACCCACCAAAATAATGAACCAAATAGAATGTAGTAGCACACTCATCATCATCATTTTAGCACACATTATTCCTACCTATGCACTTCCAAGACTTAAACCTATAATCTATAATATTCTTATTTTTCGGACATATGCATTTTGTTAATTTCAAAATTGCTTAGCTGTATAACTTCAGATCATCAGTTAGTAAAATATTTTGTATGAAAGAGCTTGTGCCTTATGCATGTACCCAATATAATAAGCAAGGTTTATCATCATGAAATTCTTAGTGAATTAACTAAAGAAATTAAAATTAATCTCCTGCTTTCAGAGAAAAACAGTACAAAAATATTCATACTTTTGGTTTAAATCTTAGTGTTTGATTGGCAGAGGTGTGTGTGTAATGACTGGTTTAGCATCTTAAAATTTTAGTGCTACTTAGTCAGTAATTCTATAATGTGCGAATGAACATAAATTTACAAAACAATCAGTACTTCAAATAAACTTTTGACATAGAGTATTTTACTTCTCAAAATTAACTTCAGTGCTGAAATTGAAAACTCCGTACTGAAAACTTGCACATTTTGGGGTTTCAATGACTTTTTCATTATCCAATAATTGACGTTTTGGGATTACAGGATGTTTATGCAGAAATAAGAGCAAGTGCAAGAAACACAAAAAAGTTACAGCCACCTAAATTCAATACAGTAAGCACTTTGTTGATTGATAAAATTAGAGTGATATCATTTTAAATTCAACAGTAAACCTGAACTTCAGGTAATTCCATCTGCTAACTTGTCATTCTGTGTGAATGATCTCCCATGCTTTGTATTTGTTTTATTACCGACAGTTTTTTTTCCCTCTTTCTAATAGGCAAATACACAAGTATGTATGTACTGGCAAATACTATGCACAATGTTTACTTCTGGTGCATTTTGTATGTAAAAAATTTTATTTACGTGAATATACTTATTATCTGAAGCACTGCACAATTTTTTCTATAATAGTGTTAGAAACTAAATTCATCATACTTGTACCTATGGCCTTTAATAAGGGCATTACCAGAGTATTATCATATTCATTATATGTAAAACTGGAATTGAATACTAGACAATGCATTGGAATGACATCTACTTTTAGTCAGAATCCTATTTTTATTGATTTGTATGCATTCTATAGTGCACCTGTTATAGTTGATTCCATAAAATTCAAATATCCACTAACATATTTCTGAAGGTTTACCTGTTGATGGAAGAATTTTAGTGAACTTCACAAGTAAGTGGATAAGTCAGTTGAAACCTTTTAGACAAATCAGTAACTCACTTATGAGTGAAAGTAAAGAAGAATATATAACAATGTATGTCAGCCACACTATATCTGTCATATCCAGTGCTGATGAGATCTTTCATCCAATATCAGTGCTCACCAGGCTGTCTGGGATACAAAAGAAACAGTAGTGATTGAGACACTATATCCCAAACTTTTTCACTAACGACACCCTAACCCACTTACCTTGATTTGCATGACACTCTTGCTGCCACGTGCAGTATTTTTTGTAGAGTTTTGTTTTTTATGTTCTAAATTATTCTTCATTTGCTGAAACTCTCGCAACACCCCTTACAACTTGTTGCGACACACAGTTTAGAAAACACTGCACTGTATTATCAAATTGCATGAACAACAATTGTGGTGTGAACTAAAAGTTGAAGTGTCATTTTTATCAATTTTATCTGAGTCTTTTACAAACCAGAATAAGGATAAGGATTAATAGTATTTATTTATTTCAACACCAATGATTTATTACTATTATTTATGTTTACTTGAATTAACTTTACTCATCATTCAGAACTGACAAACCAGTGAGCTATACATTCATATGTTTATTTAGTGTCCTAGAGTATCTAAATTTTTAAATGATTAATAGTAAATGACATTGTTTTTTTTTATCGTTATAAAACATGTAAAGCATGGTAGAATCAGGAAAGCATATACTGCTGGTCACATGATTCTTGTTTTCAGGCAGTATTAAAAAATTCCAGTTCTTATATGCATCTTCATGATTCACTTTGAATATGCTTCTAAATGTTTTCGTATATGAACTCTGTATTTGAAAACTGTATTTTTATGTCCATGTGTTGCTGCCCAAGCAGTCATACGTGATATCGTTAAGTGTTTGTTATTGTATTATACTTGTAGGAAATTCCTTTTTTGAACTGTTTAGAAATATTTAATTTATTAATCTATAATGTAAATAATAAAAATTGTCATACATGAACCAGCTGTTGCTTCTCATACTTTAGAACCTTTAAAAGAATTTAGTTAAGACAAAAAAATGTGTATAGCTTACTTCCATTTTTAAAATGTTTTCAAACTATACTATCTGTGAAATGGTACAGGGGTCAGCGTGTAAAGAAAATCTTCAAATAAAATTAATTTATTACATGACATAAAATTTAAATGAGTAGAAAGTATGCATAGAATAAAATTTGTGTTATATACATTTGATTTTGTTTCTCTATTAGATCCAAGTGAGGTTGATAAAATCTCTGAAGAAGAAGAAGATCAACTTTTTGAAGAGCATCTTCGATTAGAGAGCTCCTCAGAGTCTCAAGAAGGAGTAGACCATGAAGAGCTTGATAGAGATAATGGAGATGAAGTATTTGATAAGCATGAAATACCTGGTGGCCTTTTTACTTCTGAGATTAATCCAGTGAAAGGTATTACCAGTTATCTAGCTGTATCATAATTTAAGTTTTGTTTGATACAGAAAATAAGATATTTGATTAGGCTTTATAAAAATACCGGTGTGAAATAATAGTAGATTTACTGTATATTTAATATGATTATACATATATAGATGATGATCTTCAGTTGTATCATCTGTGAGAGACTTTGTATCACAAGCAATGCTTATTAAAAGCCCAATTAACTTGCTTTAACATTAGAGGTTTCTTCTTGTGTAGTTTTTTATTATAAAATCTTTTTTATTAGTGATGATATTTGCAAGGTATTTTTTGTTCTCTCAGTCTTCATAAACAGAGTGCAGGAAGAACTGTTGAATGTATCCTCATAAAGACATCATTCTTCTAAAATTATGAAGGAACTTAATTTGGTAATCATTAAGCTTACCAAACAATGGCTTCATATTCTGTGTCATGATAGGTTGAGGCAAGTTTTCCTTATCATTTGTAAAAAGTTCTTCCTTTATGCTTTCTGATATTTCGTATAAAACATTTGTTTTAATAGGTTTACATGGCAGGAAAGTCACGGCAGCAATTGCCGCTCTGTTTTTAAAAATGGCCGTGGTGCCCTCATAAAATCACTAAAATCCACGGCCTTGATGGCCACCCTTCGGTATCCCTTTAGCTGTCATGCCCTCATGATCTAAATTTGTATTGCATACTGGAGTAAAGGGAAAACCGTTGGGAATCACACTGGACTTACAACCTACAGAAACTACCTTGTTACAAATAATATATCACATAAAATGCACATACTGGAGGGAGTGAAGTTTTCACCTTGTTCAGCAGTAAAATATTCATGCAGTTTGTTGAGTCATACCCTACTGCAGGCTCTTACTAGTAGCAAACAATTCAAATCGGTGCTCAAACAACAAACCTGCAGAGCTTACACAGAAATTCACAGTCACAGTAGTATGTGATGATCAAAGTCACACGTACATACACTGGTCAGAGTGAAATGCATGACTGCAAATACTCCTTTCATTAAACATGCTGAAAAAGGAATGAGTTAAGAGGGAGAATGCCATGAAACTTTTTTTTCTCTGTGGTGGCCAAGTGCCAGAAATTGGACCTTTTTTATCATTGGTAAATATATAGATTTTTAGCCATGGCATAGTGGCTTATAGAATGGCTCCGAGTTTTTTTTACAAGTATAAACTTTTAGTTTATAGCTCCATCATCTCTTGACTCATTTGAGATCTAATTACAGTTTACGACTCAGGGGATCAAACCCTGTTGTTTTGGATTATTTGGTGAGTTGGGCAAAGAAATAGCAGATGGCTCTGAATTATAAAATATGCAAGGTAATGCATGTGGGATATCACAGTTTGAATTATGAGTATAATTTTGATGGGAATAACCTTCACAGTGTTATGAAGACCTTGTTATTTATTGGCTTTGAATGGAGTACTCTCACAAGTGTTTTCTGCTAAATCAACAGTGTGAAAACACACATTAATTGAAAGTTTCTCCAGCATTAAATGTGGAAATTATAGAAGAGTTGGAGGATAAAAATGAGTGTTATAAATAACCTGGATCTGTTCTAAGTCAAATCAGAAAAATCTTAACTTTAAATAAACTGTGACTAAAGAAGCCATGTCTTGCTTTAAGACTAATGTGAATACAGGTCTATACTTGCTTTTATGTGATACCATACCTCATATGTCCAATGGAAGTAAAAAAATGGGTCTAAGTATGCTGTTTTTAGTTTGTATGTATGTATGTGTGTTTTTTTACTTGCCACTTTGGCAGTTAAACTTTTGTGTGAATTTTCTGTGTTTTTCACATATAATAACAATGCAAAGCTAGGCGGTGTTTGGCTTAGCTGACTTTTCACTAAATGTCATTTGTGCAACCATGTGTGATGTAAGGCCTAATTTCTCCAGCCTTTCATTGCATAAGACCATTGTCTTGGAACTACTTGAATTGTTACTCAGTGATTGTAAACATACTGTGATCATAAGTTTCAGTTATTTTCATTTCTATATTGTTATTCTAATTGAGAACAAGAAAAACAGAAATGAGAAAGTATGTACAATATTTATTTTAATGCAAGTCTCTTAATTTAGTGTGTCAGTACATTTGTTTATTTGTCTTATGGTGCCTTTGTAAATACCACCTGTCAAATCCTTTTAACTTGCCAAAGTTGTGAAATTACATCTAAAGGAGAATGTACTAACCCTGTAAGCTGTAGAATCAGTAGAACTGACTTCATGATCATGGAAACTAGTGCTGAACAATTAATCATCAGACATATCAATTAATTACATTCAACTAATTGATTATTTTCATGAAATGGCTAAAATAATAGTGTAACAATACAAATCTGGTTGTGATGGTCAGAACATGGATAACCCATTGTGTAGAGTTGTGCTTAACATCAATTACTTAGATTGTTGAAATAATCAACTATAGTAATAATGTGAAACCTTAATTTTGATTAGTTGATTATTTTTGTGAGACAGGGCACTGCTCATTTAAGCTAAACAACCTTGAATTAATCTAAAATAATAATAGCAGTATTTTGATTACTGGCTAGTTAGAATAATCAAAAATGGTAATATTCATAAACTAATTTAAATTAGTTGATTATTTTTGTAACATTAATGGATTTAATTGTAATTTCAATTACTGGATTGTTGGAATAATCAAAAACATTAATAATTGGAAACACTAGTTGATTATTTTACATGACACTGAATTAATCAATGTTCTTGGGTAATTGATCAGTTTATTTAATTGTCCAGCTTTCTTGAAAGCACTCTATGTATGGTACTTTCATCATAGGGTAACTCAACTACATTAAAGCTTATGATTTTCTCCACCACTTAAACTCTCAAAATAAAAAATATTAAGTTATGCTGTTCAGATTGGGCCAAACCCTCATTTTCCATTTCTAGACATCCTAATAGATAGCTATGAACACCATCTTTCTATATAAGTTTACAGAAAATCAACTTGAACCTTTCAGTACCTACATTGTAGATCTAATCAACAACAATCAGTAAAAATGTGAAATTATTAAAACTTTCCAAGTCAGAGCAGAAAAAACTTTCAAGAAGACTTTTCAAGCTAATTGTTACCCTAAGCAGTTCATTAAAGAGTTACTAAAACCAAAAGTCTCATCACTAATGACCTGTAACCACCATCACCCTACTTTTTTTTTAATCTAATCTAAGCTACAAACACAGGAAAATTTGTAAGAAAGTTAAAATTAGGCTTTGTTTCAAATCTGGCAAAAAGTATTTGAAATATCCTGACAAGAGTTTGCTTTGAACAGAATTTAATATTAGTAAACTAGTAATCCCCTGCAGTTGTGGTGAAATCAACATTGGAGAAACAAGAACTGTCAATCTGAGAAGAAAAAAAACATTCTGATGTAACAAGACTTATACATGCAAACTCGACCATAACTGAACATTTTTGCAGCACAGTACACTCATTTAAATGGGAAAAATACATAGTTTTAGATACTACAAAACACTGGAATAAAGATCAGTAAGTCAAAATTAAACTGAGACTAAGACCTAGAAAAAGCAATATTTGGAACTGTATCTTACCAAAACTTAACAACAACAGGATTCAACAATATCCCAATGACCATTCAACATTCTTCATAGTTCAAGAGCTCACTATGAAGGCTGTGCTGCTGAATTACAATCTATTCTCTTTTCACAAAATACAGACCTGATGATGGACTTGGCATGGAGTCCAAAACATCAAGTCAAGAATAACAACAGAAGACCATAGAAACCTCAGTCCAAATACTGTTATACCTGATACAAGCATATATATGGTATTTCACATTGTACATTTTAATATGAAGCTATGAAAATACCATTAACTTGTTTAACAAACTAGTAAAGTTTATCAATACATATGTAGAAGTATTGAATGTGAAATTTTCACTATATGCTGGCTGTTCCTCTTCATAAAACTCTGGTGTACACTATGCTGACTTAATTCTTCTAGAAATACTGTATCTTGCATTTATGTAGTTACATTACATAATCTGTTATTACCACAACCTTATAAAGGCAAAATGCTGTAGCACCAAAATCACATTCATTGCAGGATTTTTTTAAATGCAGTTGACCAAAAACTGGAATACGAGAAAAGAACAATGTTAAGATGGAGATATAGTTTTTACTTAACACATTTTATCAACTTTAACATGTTTTTGTGTCGAACCTGCCGATAAATACTGGGAGTTTATAATTAACATTTATTTCCATTACAGACACATTTCCTGAGCAAATTTGAATAAAGATTTCCCCAAAAATAGTTAGTAAGTATATACAGAACAAAAAGTTGTGCACAGCAATAATAAGTGACCAGGGATTAAAAAAGAAAATGGCTTAATACAGTATTTAGTGTATATTTTATTTCTCTGTAAGATACTTTTATACACATCCTACCAAAAAGTAAAGAGACACCCACTCTAGAAAGAATGGCTATTTATTAAACAAACAAAAAAATGATATGTGGAGTGCAAACTTACCATTTGTATTTAATGGATTTACCATTTGTAATACTTAAGGTGAGTGGGTGCTGAATCAGCACGAGCCTCTCTTTCATAAAAACACTGTTTTGTCTGATAAGCTGAATATTAGGTATTAGGCTTGCTTGAGAATTATGATGTATTTAGCAGCATTGACTATCTCATTGTGTACCACCAGCTTTGATCATCCAGCTGTCCAAATGTCGTAATAAGAATACTGCCTTATATTGTTATGCCTTTTAGATGATTCTACGAAAAATTCCTGAAAGGATATTTGCCAAACTTAGAGTTGTGCAGATGTAGACTTGTTTGAAAACAATTATGGTGTCCTAAAAATGCAGTAACGTGTGATAACATCTGTGATGCTTACTGCTATTAACATATGATATTGTCTGGAATAAAGAGTAACTTCCATCTAGCTACTTTGTCATTCTAGCCCATGCTAAGAAGATAACTTCTGATAATAATGAGGCACACTTGCATCTGTCCAGCAACAGTAGCACCTATGCTTCACCTCATAACCTGGAACATAAAGAATATGTTGTGTTACAATGTGACTGGAACTGCATGGTCAGTTTGTAGTTGATTGACTGATTTACAGTCTAGAGGTGTTTAGAAGAGGCTCTCCTTCCTCCATTTATGAAGTCCCTTTGCAGCATGTTTGTCATAGCACATTTCAGGAAGCATGGTATTGTCCCTAATTGAGAACTACTGACAACAGAGTGATAACTGGCTGGCAGAAAATACTTTTACTTTTTACTCTATTATTATTCATTGTTGCTTATCTTTATTTACTTTTTAACACTAAGTATACAGTGTAAGTAAGATTGATACTATTACTTCTACTCCAGTTTATACACTTGGAGAAATAAACACTGGCCTTGGCACAGTCTCTCTTCCTTCTAGTAATCATCACATGGTTTTTCTAATAAAAATGCCTAATTGAATTTAATGATAGTTGCATCTATCCTTTCCACTTTTTAACTGACAAGGGAAACTAATGAAACATTTTCTAATTCACATGCTGTATTATACATTAAATGTTAAATGAAACTATATATATATATATCACATTAAATGTTATAGTAATAAATAATAAGTTCTGTGTTATACAATGAGTATTTAAAAATGCATTAGTTGTTTAGTAAATATATTTGTTAAATTAACTATTGTTTGGTAAAGGAAAGGTACAAAATGTTGCAGTATGTATATGCATTGTTAGGCCTAATGTTGCCACTTTAGGCCTAACTGTAATGGACAGTAATAATAAGCCTGGAAACTTAAAAGTGTGGAACCTGAACTAATCTTGATAAAAAAAAAACCATCTACTTGAGACTTTATTGTAAAATACATACTTCAGGATTTAGTAATGATAAATAAATATGATATTCTTATACTCCTATTCTTTGGTATGTACATTTCTAAAATATACCTGTTGTTTAATGATGACTAAGTGATAAGTTTATTTTTCATGAGAATTATACTTTAGAGTCTTAGGCCTAGAAAGCATTTAATACAATATAAACCTAAAATCTCAGAACTTAGATTCTGAAATATGCTCAGTTTGAATTATAATAATACATGTAATGTAAAAATTGGTTATATTCTGACGTTAATTATACATTTAAATTAAACCATACAAGTTAAAAGCTTTCATTATAATATTCTATAACAGTCTATGAAACCTAACACAGTATATTGGGCATATTCCAAAATTTTAATTTTATATCTAAACTATAGTAATAAGTATATATTTTCAAAAGTGTATCTTCTAAGTTTTAGGCCTAAGCATCATTTAAGAGAATTGAAACCTTAATTGCTGAAGTTAGACTATGCTCATTCTGTATTTTAAAGTAGGGCCTAAAGGATAGAATTAAGTTTTATATTAATATTTATAATAAAGTAATAACAATATTAGTCTTGAGTCTTCACAGTCACTTTCATCCCTGTGAGTCTGGGACCATGTAGCCCATTCACTTGTATTCTCAGAGGTGTCTCTTTATTATATTTATTGGTAGGCTGTGCATATGAATCTAGTATCTTTTAACATTACTTGTATTATGTAAGAGTATTTGAATTGAAAGCCATCTAATAATTTGGCTTAATGTATTGTGTGAAATCATTTTGTAATATTTTTTCATAAAAAGTCACTTCCTGAAATATAATTTTGTAAAACTAACTGATACCTATCGTATTGTCAATTATCTATTTTTGCCATATTTTTCTACTTACGAGTACAGTGGTTTGAAATAAACAGTTCTTAATGATTTTATCATTATTTGGCATTGCGTAAGAAGTCAGTTAATAATGTTTTTTATTTGGAATGCTAAGAATGTCTTTGGACAAAATGTTGTCTGCGTAGGACCAAATTTATGTATGTAGTGTCATAACTGTAGTTATTCATGTGTAAGTTTAAGAAACTAAAGTGTTATAATGTTTATCATTTTATTGTATCTTCTTTATGGATATGTAATTCACTAAAAAGAAAAACTCTGAGAACTGGAACAGTAACAGGTTCTAAACTTCCTGTTACAATACTATTATGTAAAATCATATGCTGCTGAAATGAGAAGGATTAGTAGCCCTTAAAATGTGGTGAAAATCAGACTTGGCCCCTGTTATGTTTTTTATTACAATCCTTTTTAGTTAGTGCATTGTAGCTTTCAAATCAGAAATGTATAAAACAGTAATATATATATAATATACCTGTATTTTATTTTCCACAATTCACTGCCTAGAAAGACTACCATTCATTACCAAAAACTTATGAGCTTGGTGAGACTTAATAATGCAAAAGCCTGTCTGATTTGCTTTCTTGTATGTTGTAATTTGTTACTGTTATTAAACTTTATGTCAAACATTAATACTTCCAGTTTTTCAAAATGTCTTCTATTCAAACAAAACATGTTCTAAACTAAAGATTGTTGATTAATTATTTTTATTTCTGTGTTCAGTAGATTTATCATATGTGGAAGTATCACAAAGTTTGGGTTGTAGTACCGTAAAAAGACCACTGGAACCAGAGCATGAACATAAAAAGTCCAAGAAACAGAAACTAAGTGATAGTAAAAGTGAAAAAAAAGATCTTCATGCAAATGATTCTTCATTAGAAAAGAAGAACAGCCAGACAATGTAATGGAAGTAGACTTAAAATCATCAGAAATTAGTACTGAAGAAAAACTTTCATTAAGTTCAGACAGACCAAAGAATAATTTTGAAGATCTCGAGCATCTTAATTCTTCCATAGAAGACACTGAAGGATACTCAGCTTTTAATGAAGAGAATGATATAAACAATGCTGATAAGAAACCTGAAGAAGAAGCGGACAAAAACCTGAGTAAGAAAATTAGCAGTGAGGAGATCCAAGTGCCTACAAGTGAAGAAATTGAAATTGATAAACAGAAAAATGACATAAATCTTGTTGGGAAAGGTAAATGTTTTAGAGTGTTCTTTAATTTTCAGTAGTGCTTGCATCTGTATTAAATATTTTACCACCAGTCAAATCAGCTCTATAAAAATGCCATGGTGATATCAAATTCAGGCTCAGTTAATGTTGTGAAATTAAAATATCAAACTTTTCTTGTAGATATTCCAAATGTACATTTTTGAAATAATATGTTGTAGCAATTAGATACTCTTGAAGGTGGGGATAAAAAAAAATCTAATGGTGTGATTAATCTAGTTGTCTCTTAATGGGATCCCAAAATTAAATACAGTTACAATTTTAAAAAGTTTATTTTTGAAATGTGCAATACTCTTAACTGGAATGATACTGTCATAGTTCAATATTGTGCTTTTTTAAAATATTTAATCATGGAATTTATCACTAAAAGATAGGATAACTGATAATAACACCATGAAAAATTAGCTATATAAACCCTATAAAGCTTCTTTATAACATTGCTGCTTATTTATAAACAATTTTGCAGTGCATCGTGAGTTGTTTGAATGTAACATTGTACATAGGCTTTGTATGGAACATGAAAATTATAGATAGCATTTAAGTATAGCTGGAACTTGTGTTGTACCGAAGTGACATAAAGCTTTCACGTGCATATCATGCAAATATTTATACGGGTCCAAGAGCAGCAAATGTGGTTATACAACACCAGATATTGTTGAAGCTGTGATTAAATGGACCAGTACACTGTTTCAAGCAAGTGTAGTATACAATAATCCACAGTGTACACCATTCTTTATTTGTGTATTGTGTTATCCATGCCTATTATACATGTTTCTACCTGCTTCACTTAACTGCTTTTCTTTTAGAAAGTGACAATGTGTTGTGTAGTGTGATCATGTTCTAGTTATTTGCATTACAATATCACATGTGAAGAATAAGAAATGAAACCTGTATTTGAAAGAATAATTAGTAAAGGTATCGATAATTGTTAGTCTGTTATATTGTTTTTGAAGTTTCACTGTTTGTTGTTTTGTGATTTTCATTAAGTATGTTTGGATTAAATGTCAACTTTTCTATATTCACAATGAGGGCTTAGCAGAGAGTTAAAATAAACTGTAGATCAGAGAGAAAATAAACACCTAAAGGTTATAAATATTCACAGGCAATGAGAAATACAAATATTATGTTGTATACATAAAGTTCTACATTATCTGAGACATGGAAATTATCATATTATACAAAACTTGTATATAGGATAGTTAATGCATTTAAAGGTGAAAGTGTTGAATAAAATGAATTAGTAAAAAATCACTTTGTTGACTACACATAATATAATGTGTAGTGTAGTGTAAAATTTAACAGCAATGTCAGTAAATAATTAGAACTCTACCACTGATTAATAGTGGGCTGTGAGTGTTTTAGTTCATCAATGACTTCACATGTGGCATCCAGAAGAATGCTAGTAAAAGGATTGTTAATTGTGTTTTTTAACATCTATGTTTTGGAGCAACCAATCAAAAAATATTTTATCATTCTAAAGATAATTATTTGCACTTTATTTTGTTACTAAACTTTACACCTGTAAGACAAATGAAAGATGAAGTTGGTGGTGAAACGCAATGAAGTCTTTGTATTCACTACATTAGATTGAACATTTTGTCATACACAGACTAATGTGAAAATCCAAGTTTGTTGTTACAGTTATGTGCTTGGTGTACTTTGAAGAAACCTTTTTTATTTTAATATATATATAAATTTTAACACATTACTCTGTGTGTGAACATGCACTAATGAAAGATGTTCCTTTGGTACTGGCAGAAGACGATGAGGACCTTGAAGTTCCAAAGGAAAATGGAGAAGATAGTGAAAACTCAACCAACAGTAAATTAGTTAAGCCTGAAATAATTTTAACAAAGTCTGTAAGTATTTTCATTTTCCTAGTTAAAATTTTTGTCTGGTTTCACATTTTCATTTAATGATTCTATAAACAGGAGTTTTTTTTATTTTCTGTTGTTTTTTCTTTTTTAAGTTGTCTTGGAGGTGCAGTATTGTAATTAAATAATAGATAGGTTTTTGTGGAGCTTGTGAACTTTGTTTAATCAGGCTTAAATATTAATTTTATATTTAATTTAGTTTGAAAACACACAGAATATTTCACTATTAAGTTATGTAATAAAAAAATTTGCACAATGTTAAATATTAAAAAATGGGGTAGACAATTCCTGAAGAAACCTGAAAGCTAGCTCTTATTAAAATATTTAATATTCCCATGTGGTATGTAGTACGTTTTTAACTTTTGATATTGTATATCAATACCCATATTAAATAGGATGACACTTCAAAACAGCATGTTTTTATGAAATATTTGCTAAAACCTAGTACCTTTGAATTATAATTTGAAGAGTTCATTCATTTTCTTCAGTTGAAATTATACAAAGTGAAATTTGTACATATTTTATAGGAGTATATTCTCAATGTCTCCCACTGTGTGTGTGTGTGTGTATATATATAGTAGG